CACCTAGTCACATGAGCAACCTGGACATACATCTGATTGACCATCAAGCAAGAAGGAATATTGTTGATGAAGAGAAAGGTAATGAGAATGACATACGCTGACAGTGACTTCATAACAATGCAGCAAATCTGTCACAACAGCACCTGCACGCTCCCCGCTATCATCTTCTGTTATCAGACCTCACTTCCAGCCAAGTCAACCAGAGAAAGTTTGCTATATGAGCTTTCCCCAGTGATCAAATGGTCATAAATATATGTATTGTGACAATCCTAGTAAGGCAACACATGAAATCCACAGAGCATAATTAGTGAAAGCACTCAGAAAATTATTTAGTTACATAAATAGACGGATCCAGATATCAACTTCACAATTAATTACTATGAATTATCACAAGTCATCTCTTTTACAGAATAAATCAGCGATAACTACAGAAAAAATGTTATCGCAAACCAGTGAAAAATCAGTCTTCATTTAAGCTTTAAAACCACATACCATTCATTACCAATGTTTTTTTTTTCCCTCCCAATTTTGTGCTTCCCATCAGTATTTCAAGTCATGCAATGAAAATTTCTAAAATTCCCTCCAGCATAATAGGTTACATCCTAAAAGTAAATAATTTCAACAGTCTTTTGTGCATAACCTCTCCGATCATTTTAAGCTAACCATAGTCAAGAAGTTAAGAGGCAGTGCACAAAAAATCCATGAAAGATTTGTTTTAGGGGGTGAAAATGTGCTGTTGCTATAGGTTTGTCATACAGTAGAAAACAGTGAAAAGGAAAAGGTCACAGCAGAATACATGCATAACATTAACGTGGAATTTAAACCATACAAATGAGAGACATTAATCTTCGATAAATCATTTCCTCGCTTCTGAAATGCATTTTTCAAAACCCTAGAAAAGTCAATAGGGTTTTCAACTTTTTCCTGCACCAGTTCCACAAATATTGTGGTGATCCTAAAGAGAGTTTGGGCATGCTTTTCCCCGACTCCAAAAGTAGATCCCTTGTCTGCATAACCACATTAAAGGGGCTTAGTAAGAACCTTAAAAACCCTATCTTCCTAACAACAAAAAACCAGCAAATCAAACCATAGACACGACCATGTAAATTGTACATGGCAAGAGAAATAAACCTGTTCATTATAAAGGTCAAAAATTGTAACAGAGAACTTGTATTGAGAAGTAGAAGTTGAATCTGAATTGGCCAAATCAAACAATTCTTCAAAACAACGAGCATATAAACCTCGATCATAGCTTGGTCCTTCCTAAGAAAGACAAATGATCATCCAAGAAGCAATTCATTAGGCCAAAAATTCATTTAATTGAGAAGCAAAAGAAAATATAGAAAAGGGTCCACACACAGGACAAGCATATGAATTATTAAATCAGTATTAAATTTAAGACCCCGACTCAGCTCTTTCTTTCTCTTGAAAGGCAGGGCTGGTGATTTGCACACGCATGCATGTGCATGCTAAAAGTTTAAGAAAGAAAAATCAACCATAGTGTGTGTCTTTCCAGAATGTGTCTGCCCATATGCAAATATGGAGACATTGTATCCATCCAAAGCTGACTGCACCAGTGGCTGAACATCGTTAAACAATTCGGCTACAAATAAAAAAATAAAAAGGGTTATTCATGCAAAATATTATATGATTGCCCAAATGTACTTACATAAAACAAAACCATGTTACCTTGTCCAACGTGAGGTCCATAGACACGATCAAATTCAAAATCTTTCTTGGAGTTGGACAATGATTCATCACCAGTGTTTACACGAATAGTATATTCATCTGGGAATTCAACAACTGAGGGACCTTCATCTTCAAATAATGGTCTTGCACGGCAGTATACTCGGATGTTTCCTGCAAATAATAGTATGACAAAATTCAAGATATGTAGAAAGAACGAAGGCAGAAAAATCTTTTGTAAAATATGGAATCAGAATATAACATAATACATCATAAATTAATAAAGATGGAAGAAAATTTTCTATTAGAATACGAGCAAGGGTTTTAAACTCATACTGCTAGTAAAGCCTAAGGAGAATCTCCCAAAATTACAATGAATCTTAAAATCTACTTTGCCTATCTCTACTAGTTTTCGCCTTATTTATAATATAAGAACAGATATTAAATAATAAAAATAAATAAATAACTGACTAGATTCCAATAAACATTGACTCAATAATTAAAAAAAAATCCCAATTGAAATATTTATAGATAATATTTCTTTATTATTTGTAACATAAGTACTTGTTTTGGCAGCTAGACATACGTTATCAGCTCAGCAAAACATTAGCACCAGAATATACTTAGAAAAGTCAAAAGATCAGCTACCTTAAGTTTTAAATACTGTGATCCAGAGGCAGATGCAGCAATGCTATTTGATGACTATAATTGCCGTGCATCCATATAAAAGAATATTTAAACAATTTGTTAAATTATTAAAAAGATCAATATCAACATAAAATATATAATCTATATAAACCAAACTATTTATAAGTCACGAAATGCACAGCTCCTCCAAAGCTCCATGCATAATTTTTTTATTCTTTCAATCTTTCTCCACACACTTAATTGGGCCCCATGCAACTCTTTAATCTAGTTCTCCATTTTCAGCACTGCTTAAATGTTAAGAAAACAAATACAATCTTAACAAAACTTTCAAGTTCTTATCCATCCTGTACATTGCAAGGGGAAAGTATCTAGTTACTTTTATAATGTTAGAGTTAAGAACATCTATTTTAATAGACTAGCTTTAGACATGGCTTTTTAAGCAAATACTACAAAATCGATATTTATTTCCCAAGATTTGGTACCTCGCAACTACAAGTGTAAGAGGTTCAAAAATAGAAATAAGTAATATTATTAAGAGGCAGATGAGATTAGTAATAAAACTTGCAGTAGATTTAGTGTGGGCATACAAGACACCAATGGATTTAGACAAATAAAGTAAATTTCTCTTCCTCCATAGTTGCAGTGATGTCTATCTGATGTTTTCTAATTTTAAACCACATCCTTCTTGACTAATAATTGGCAATGGGGTAGTTCCAAATTCACAGTAGAGGAACTAATACAATCTCCACAATATGTGCCCCAGTTCCCATTGTAGATCCAAACTTACATCATATGATGTGCACAAATATCTCTGAATAAAAGTAGATATAGAAACAACCATTAATCAATATCAACTATTAATATTACATAAAGGACAATTACCTTTAGATGTCAACAAGTCATTGAACAATCTCCTCTTCTCGTTGATAATTGGCAAAATTCTGGTTTCAGTTTCAAGGGCAGCTTGATCTAACATTCATATAGGTGGCACCAAAAGAAATTAAAAATTTAATAACAGAAAACCAACAGTGAAATGACTACACTAATAATAATAACCACAAAACCAGCGCAGGCAAATCTAGGCACATTTAATTTGTGCAATTGTAAGAAACTAAAAACACCTCAAACGAAAATCTGCTATATTTCTCATTGTTGCAAAGTCATAGCACATGTATACTATATGTCACGACAAACTAGTTTCATACCCAACTTGCGGGTCTTGTCTGCAAGAACACCAAGGTATCGGGTAACGCGGTCAAGTTTTGCATTTGAGTATTCTTGAAGTTCACTCGCCTCTTGCCTTAACTGCTGGTAGTCTTCTCTAGCGAGCTGTGCAAAATATCATATGTATTTGTTTAAACAGGTGCTTAAATTAAGAATTAATGGTTCATAAAAGATCCACTAGTAAACCACATGCTTTTGAAAAAATCATATTAAAATTGCTCATAACGATGTACTTTCGAATCCAATGCAGGTTTGTTTTTTTTTTGGTTGGATGATCCAATAGTGTTCCATATACTGCAATTATATGAATGAATTAAAAATATATTGAGATGATATTTATCAGCCACAAATGCAGGAAACAATAATATTTGGTAAGAAAAAGAGCTTTATGCTGTCTCTAACATTTGGTGATTAGAATTTAGACTAATATGGCAAATCTTTACAATGACAATAATCCACGCTCTTTGTAGAAGATTATTTCATCTTAATAAGCCAATAATGCACCTTCATAATCTCCAAAATAGCACTTGGTTTGCTCATAAGTTGTACATTCCTAACATTCTGCTCAATTACTGCATTGATCTAACAGCCACCCACACATATCTGGGGCTAAATTCATTTCATTGAAACTGTGAGACCACCATCAATGTGTTCTTCTCATCATCACAGTCCATCAAACATTACAACCATGACAACACGCATCCAGCAATCAAATAAGGTTCAACCAAACACAATGGGGAGCTTGTGACTTAATTGATTTCAACAATAGAATAAATGACGCCAAATCTTCAACAATCAAACTGATCGTTTAGTAAGATTTTTCAATCGACCAGCAACCATACGAGTTTTGGATAACATGGCATATAGCTCTAAAAAGCCTCAGCATGCCTCAGATGATCTTACTAAACCTGCTCCCTACGTTTCCATTGAACATAGAAAATTGCTGGTGAAATGTAAAGATGAGCTTCATTAGCACTGTCACAGTGTCACATGCACCTTAAATTTTAAGCAACATGCTATGCATAGTAGCAAAAGAAATCAATTGGTTTTCCGTACTGGAGTCTCAACAAATGTTAGCTGAATCTGATATCTCAAGCAATTGCTGATAGAAGATAGCATCTAAAATTGAATCCACATGCTCCAATAACAGTTCAAATAAGGATTCGGGATTGAAGGCGGTGAAAACCTTCTTTTCTTACAGTCTTCTGTACATAAAAAGAGGCACATTCTGCCCCTCTAAATCCTGCTGTCCAGCTAGCAAAATTATAGCTTAAAACTGGAAGCGGCGACTTTCCAGAATTATGCAAAGTACTTTCTCAATATAATGTCTTACGCGGGGAACCAGATATTAACCGCACCACAGTGGACAGAATGAAAGGTGACTTTATGTCCTAACCTAGTTCAGAGTATACTGTCCAAATTCCGCGACGTTCTATTGACATTAGCCAAGACGGGGTTAGACTCTGGAACTTCAAGACATGCACTTAAAACGATGCTCTCCTCGTCATCGTCACTGATAAGCACCCCTTCTCAAGAATACATACATTGCCATTAACAACGCTAACATAGAGTAGACGCTAAGACTCTCACAAGAAAAAGCTGAAAGCCAAAATTCATCCAGCAGGTTGGAAGAGGAGGAGGAGGAGACGCAGCAAAGATGGAATGAGAACCCATTACCTTAACTTTGTCCCCCAATCGGTGAAGCTTGGAGGCCATGGAGTGTTTGGACATCTCTGAGTGCGGAAGAACCGAGGAGGTGGAGATGGAATACCTCCTTACCAATGGTGCAGGGGGCTTCTGATCGTGTTGCTCAAATGAAGAAGAGGAAGACGAAGTCGGAGACTTCCATGGGTCGAACCCACTCACCTCCCAGTTCCATTTGTTCTTCTGTTCCGCCATTGATTGGCTGCAAAGCCCTCAATCTGTGCTTGGATTTCCTCTAAAATTTGAAACTTGAGAATGCAATCCAGAACATTAAATTTCGTCCCAAAAACAAAAAGCTCAAACATCAAACAAATTCAAGTAAAAAAAGGAAAAGAATAGGCTCAATTCAAGAGCTTTATTTTTGTCATTATTGTCATCACTGGGACTAGACTAGTGATGTCCTTCACCTTTTTGCGCCATAAACGTTTGACAAATTTTTATATATTTGTTTCAAAATTGTATTTTAAAACTCATAAGGTAAAAGGTTGGCAAATAAAAGTATAAAACTGATAAAGTAAAAACATAATATTTCATTCAAATTGGTTAATTAATTATTAACTATTGATTAATACAGTAATTATTAACTTCACGGGTTCTTTGCATATTATCTGAAACCAAGACAGCACATCTTTCTGCAGATTTAATTCTCTTTTTTTTTTTGGCAATATATAATTGATTAATTCTGAACTAGTTTCACTGCTCGTTACTTTAATAAATATCTTAAACTTATTAGATTTTAATTGTTCATATTTTATTTGAATAGCCTGAATTTGATTTTTTTTATTTTTATTTGTTCAAAGTAATTATTTTAATATGTATAGAATATAAAATAGAGATAATCTTTTAATTATTATTTTTTTAAAAAAAGTCTTTTCTGTTTAAAAATAATCAATTAAAGATTTTAAATCTGAACCATTTAAATAAGATATAAACAGTCCAGATCTAATAAACTTGTACCAAAACTAGTTCGGATTAATTCATCTTACATGTTAAAATTTAAATGGAAATATTCCTTCGCCGTTAGGTTTGTAAGCAGAGTCGTATGTACGGTGTCGTTTTTAAATGGGACACTCTTGGGCCTTTGTGGGTCACAAATTAATGTGCGCTTGTTATTCGTTCACACTTCGTTCTCGGGAATTTGTGAAGGATTTTGTGTTGCTTTTGGATTGGAGGTGGAGCTCCAAGATAAGGCAGAAAGGGCGCCACGCCAGCGTGTGGCCTGGAGAGTTCCGTTACCGGCTCAAGCTTCAAGTTCAATTTTGTTCTGAACGTATCATGATCAAAAATCATATTCATAAATTGCAACAACAACAATAATAATAATAATAAATATATTTAGTAAATCATGTCAGAGCCCTGTGAGGAAGAGACATACTGAACCAAAGATGAGAACATTCTCGAGTAGGTTCCCAGCTTTTCCATCCCATTTTCTTCAGGTTCACGTTTAGTCATTCCATTATTATTGAACAGTGACGTACGTATGTGCTTAGTAATTTCGGATGTGTTGTTTTGCTGTAATTGTGTACTAATGAGAGGACATTAGAGCAGTAATTGCTGGTTTGTGTTTCTAAGTATTCGGATTTACATTTGTTTGGTATGTAATGAGTAACGTGTGCAAGCGCATAACCAGGCAAAGCCAGCTAATTTCCCAGCTCTGGTCGACGAGTAATCCATGCAACCTGCTTCTTCAATAGTTGTATCTTCGTTATGATACCGGGGCTTTTGCTTCCTTTTTTGCATTCCCCCCCCCGGGGGTTCCGTGGAGTGTGGAGCTTTTTTTTTTTTTGGTACAAGAGTGTGGAGCTTTTTACAGAGGAAAGATGGAGACCACGTTGCTAGATCCAATATCTGATTCCTAGTTTCGGCCTCTAACTCTGGTCCATGTTGGGTGTTTGCAAGCTCTTAGCCGCTTTTGGGCTTTACAAAGGGATAAGATATACCACTTTGAAGTACTACCTCATCTCTTATAAAAACTCACTTAACTTTTATTTTATTTTTATCTTTATTTATTTTTTAAAATAGTTTATGTAATAATAGTAGTTATAACCAAGATATTTAATTAGTAAGAATATTTTAGGAAAGACAATACCTATTTATTACAAATAACTAACTTAACTAATTTTTTTAATCTACTTAAATTAGTCAATTAGCTTTTATATTAAGGATCGGAAGTAGTATTTTTGTCCTAATACTTAATGGGTGTTTAGTTTCTCTCAAAAATACTTTTTAAAAGCACTCTCATGCAAATCAAGATAAAACTCTTATCACATACTTACTTGACTTGAGTATATCTAAAATTATGTTTAAAGTCATAATTTGACTTCCATCCCAACACTTCCTAATAGCCTAAACTAATGATTAATTCAGTATTGCAAGATACTTTTCTCAACAACAATGAGTATGCTAAACTTAGACTAAGGAATCCTACCACAGAAATATTTTAAGATGCTGAATATATTAAAAATTACCAGAAAAATGCTTTACAATTATGAGTTCTGCTAAAAAAATTAATAATTTACAGTATCGAATGAACCGGAAATTAAATCAAGATAATGAATGTTACTAAAAAAATTATTTTAGACTGTTAAATGCAATTTAGAAACCCCCTCTTGTGTGTTTGCCTGGTACACGTAAAGACAAGCTTGTCTGGGCGGCTAACGGATCTGGAAAGCCTTCGGCCTCTCATGCGTATTCCATGCTAGCTAGCTCAGCAATATTTTATAAGCTTCGTCTCCATTCTTCAGTCTGGGAGAAGCTTAACGTCCCGGATCCAACGGTGCTCTTCTTTCCGCACCATCTTAAAGAGTACATTCATCAAGCATACAATTAGCGTCTTGTCCAATTTTTTTTTTTTTTCTAAAACATAAGTATTTTCCTATAAGAAACAATATTATTTAAGATACTGTTAAGTACTAAATATGAATACTTTTTCAGTAAGAATTTTAACTTTAATTTATTATATTACGAGAGACTAGTTTTTTTTACTAGATCTGTGCCCCTTGTGAAGTTGCTTGAAGACGGATGCAGTATTTGCAATGCAGGGTACAATACTCCAAGCAAACAAACAAAAAAACGGAAAGAATAATTAAACGTAGTACTTACTTATCCTCGCCACAATTGATCCGCCCGACACCCCCGGGCCCCCCAGGGGGGACTAAAGACAAGCTGCACGTGCCAATTCACAGCATAATCCATGGGTTTCAGGTTTATACTGGGAAACAAAAAAAAAAAAAAGAGCATTCTTTGTCTTTCCTTTCTCCTCCCACTCATCTTCCGTCAACAGACAGCCCTGTAAGTAACTGTAGCTTTGTTTGAATGAATTTACAAAGACTTGAAATAGGGAAAGGTACTGCACGATGTTTAATATTTGACTTATGCTGGCTGTAGTTTGTAGATATTACCATGCCCTCATTTTTTTTGGGGGCCCCCTCGGGGGCGGGGAGGTATGCCTCATTGTGAGCTGAAGCTAGTCAGAGACCGCTGATGCGGTCCAACGCCCAGAACCAGTTTTGAGTATGTTTGGATTGGTTACGGTAAAATTGACTTTAATTTTAACTCATTTTTATTTTAATGTGATTTATGTTTGGATAGATGTTTATAAAAAATTAATTAAAAAAGTCAAAACTTGTTTGGATAATTAATGAAAAAATAAGTTTAGATATAAAATGATTTAAAAGAATATGAATTATATTAAATAATACATATTTATATTATATGTATATAATGTAACAATTTTAAGAGAAATATTAAAATTAATTGTGAGAATGGCTTAAAAGGAGTCCGAGTATTATTGAAAAATTTGTAAAATATAACTTGTCATATTTTAAGTAAAAAGCTAATTTTAATATTTTTTTATTTTGATGAGTCAAACATAAAAATCAGAATGAAAATAAAAATTATAATTTTTAATCAGTGAATTGTTTTAATTTTTTTGGGGACAGACTATTAGTTATTAAAATAATAGTGACTAAAAATGAAATAAAAATATTAACATGGACTTCATTATTCATGAGGAGGGAAGAAATGATGCGTGTGAAAGAGAAGATGGGCATGTGAAAAGCCTTAACGCTGGATGCGGTGCTAACGTGGGAAAAGGAGCAAAAAATAACGTTGGTTTTGGGTATGTTTGAATTGGTGTTGGGTAAAATTGAGTTCTAATCTAACTGATTTTTATAACTAAAATTAGAGTAAAAGTCAGTTAGTGTAATGCAATTTATATTTGGATAGATGCTTATAAAAAGTCAGGTGAAAAAGTTAAAAGTTGTTTAGATGATTAATAGAAAAGTTAATTTAGTTGTAAAATGACTGGAAAATGTATGGACTTTATTGAATAGTAGTGTTTGAAATTTTATGTTTTTAATGTGATAATAGTTTTAAAAAATACGTAAAATTATTATGATAAAATATAAATAGTTTATTTGTAAGATTATAAAATAAAAATATTTGTTACAGAGAAAAATTTGAAGACACATTGTAAATAATTAACGAAATACACATAATGGACAAACATGAATATAAATTAAAATTCATTTGGTCTCTAATAAAAATAAATGAAATCACATAACTAATTAGATCATAAGCTTTGCATGATTTTTTCATAAGTCAGTTAGAAAAGTTGATCCAGATCGTGTTGGATAAGTCAATTAGAAAAGTTAATTTTTCCTATAAGTCAGTTAGAAAAGAAGCCCTATCTAAACAATCTTTTGAGTCACAATAAGCCTCTAACCTCAGTTTCACACTTCCTCATGTGTTTTGGGCTTCTCCAACTACAATCCAAACATAGCCTTTGTCGAGTGATAAGTCAGTTATGAGCTTTTTTAATAACGCTGATCCAAATAAACAAAAAATCACAAATGAGTTTTAACCCTTCATTTCACAAATTCCTAGACGTGTTTGGGTCTTTAAACGGTGATATAGACAAATGTTTTGGGTGTGTTTGAATTAGCATTGGTCAAAACTGACTTTTAGTCCAACTAATTTTTGTAACTGAAGTTAGAGTAAAAGTCAGTTAGTGTAATATGATTTATGTTTGGATAGATGTTTATAAAAAGTCAATTGAAAAAATTAAAAGTTGCTTGGATGATTAATAGAAAAGTTGTTTAGCTGTAAAACAACTAAAAAGAACATGGACTTTACTGAATAATAGTGTTTGAAATTTTATGTTTTTAATGTGATAATAATTTTAAAAAAATACG